CGGCGTCGGCTCAAGACGACGGCTCTGTACAACGCGAAGCCAGCTGTCGAGTCCGTCTGGGAGCACGAGCGCTCGCCGTCGTCTCACGACGCGACGGCTTCGCTCTCTCCTCATTTACTGTAGCGAATGGAGGGGGATATTGCAAAATTAGCACTCGGAGACGACGGCCAGCACGGCCGTTGTACATGCCCTAACAGGATTTGGGATCAAAGACAGAGAACTGATGTGCTTTGTGAATGATTACTTTGGTTAAACGTGCTAATAAAACACTCTGGATGTCATGTCAACTCTTACCATTCCATGCAAGCTCCCATAGAAATTGTGCTCAATTCAATCCACACAGGAGCACCGGGGGATTTATCTGATGCCACACTGAATAATTTAACTTTGCTGCAAAATTATATTGTACTTATGGTGGTATATGGGAAATGCACATTCCTGTTACTTTTATTTTCTTCAGCTAATATGACATTTAATATTCATTCTTAGGTTGTGTCTGTCATTGAAAGGCGTGCGGACCAATTGGATTATGTACTGGTGGACACTCCTGGTCAGATTGAGATCTTCACTTGGTCAGCTTCAGGAGCTATCATTACTGAAGCTTTTGCATCGACGTTTCCAACAGTTGTAGCATATGTTGTTGACACTCCCAGATCAACAAACCCTGTTACTTTTATGAGCAACATGCTCTATGCCTGCAGTATTCTCTACAAAACTCGCCTCCCTCTAGTCCTGACATTCAACAAGGTTGATGTTGCCAAGCATGAGTTCGCTATCGAAGTATGTATACCATTTATGACAGTATTGTTTACTTTGTTGTTGATTCTATCGCATTTGCACCTGCCATACATTCACATCTTCCCAAAGTTACAATTTGCATGTCATGCAGAATTTTCTTACTGTGAAATATGTATAGGTTCAACCTGCCGAGGTTGTGTCTGTGACCTTAAGCTTTGTTCAAAGTGTTAATTGCCTTATTAGCCAGTTTGTGCTTATATTGTACTGTACATTCAACCAGTTTGACTTTTCACTATCAGGCACTGACATCCTGTTTCATTGCTGACCAGTGGATGCAAGACTTTGAGGCGTTTCAGACAGCTTTGGAATCTGACAAATCGTACTCCGCTACATATACACGAAGCCTCTCTCTGGTTCTTGACGAATTCTACAAGAATTTGCGCTCTGTTGGAGTATCTGCGATTTCTGGTGCTGGAGTCAATACATTTTTTGAAGCTATAGAAGCAAGCGCCAAGGAATACATGGAAACCTACAGGTCTTGTCTCCTCAGATGAACAGTTAGAATACTGATCTTCCTGTCTATGACCTTGTGTTACTAATTGGTATTTGACAAGTTTCAGGGCTGATCTTGACAAGAGGATTGCTGAAAAGGAAAGATTGGAGGAAGAACGCAGGAAGGAGAATATGGAAAAATTGCAGAAAGATATGATGAAATCCAAAGGACAAACTGTGGTTCTCAGCACTGGTTTGAAGGACAAAAATTCTGTTTCAGACATGATGGATGATGCCGATGAGGAGGAAGAAGAGGAAGCATTGGAAGATTTTGGGTTTTCTGAGGATGATGAAGATGAAGATGAAGGAGAAGACGAGGAAGTGGCTCATTTTGGTTTTTGAGGTACTGTAGTATTGCTCCATTTAAATTTGTAATGTAGTCAGTTGTTTTGGAATCTGAGGAAGTTAATAATGCTCAATAATGCTCACACACTAGTTTGCATTGGATGTGAATATGTGTTTCTGGCACTAATGCTAACCAACATATATCTGCAGTTGTTACTTGACCTAGAGGCATATTATATGTTGCATTAGCAACACTGACCTATCATATTATAGGTTGTTTTAGTTTTGTCCAAAGTCAAAACTAGTCTAAGTTTGTTCAAGTTCAATGGAGAATGGATCAACATCTAGCACATTAAATTAGTTTCATAAGTCAACCTTGAAATATGTATTGATAATACATTTTTTGATATTGTAATTGTTGATATATCTGTCTATAAATTTGGTTAAAGTTAGAAAAAATGACTTAAAGAAAAACTAAAACAGACTATAATTTGGAACAGCTGAACTTACTTTAAATAGAACCCACAATGCATTGCTATTCTAATACCAAGATGAGATGGTATCGATTGTTACACTATTGTTTGATTCTTCAATTCGGATCTGATGTTATTAAGCTTTGTCTTGGCAGGGGATCCAATAGTAACTTTGGTGTGCCTTACGGAGAATCCAAATGGGGCTACTAGTTGTCTACGGTTTAACTGAAGTGGAATGAAAAACTGTCAATATCAGTAGGTTGTTGACTTTGTTATTAGGCATTAGCCTACTCGTTTAAATTCTGATGTCCTGCTGCTGGCAGTTTATGCCATATTTTTGGAACCTCACGTTGAAGTTTATCCCGTCGCTGAGCTGAACTAATCATCTTCGTTGTACGTGCGAGTAAAGGTGCAAGGATAGATGGGTTCAGTTGTGTTGACTTGTGTAATCGGTTGCGCCGTAACTCACGTAATCCTTCGCTTCGCCTACTTGGCTGGTGTTCCAGCAGACTTCTTGGCTGATGAACTCGGGATACAGAAAGGAAAGAGTCGTGAGGATCCAGGAGTGGAGCTAGAGCAGATCCGAGGGGGTTGCGCTTGTCTTTGTGGGTGTAAGGATATATAATATGAGGGTGCAAATATGGTGAGAAATTGATCATTTCTTTTGTTTTTCTATTTTGGTGTGGGTGTGGCCGCACCCAGTGATGACTATAGCTCAGCCTCTGATTCCGAGTGTGGCAGAAATTTTAGTGCGAATAATACTAATGATTGCATTTAAAAACCACGCACACAAATTTTAGTGCGAATAATACTAATGATTGCATTTAAAAACCACGCACACGGTGAACGAACAATGTTTTTTTCTCACAACAAATAAGCATCAGCATGAGTTAGGTTTCAACGAAACGAACGGGCCAAAGAATATACCGTGTTTTGCAGAAAGCGTATATGTTTGATACAAAGTTCGTGCTGGAGATAAGTGTAAAATACGTATTGGGTAGTAGGAAGCAAAACTAAAGCTACAAATCCCAGCTTTACAAGTGAAAAAAAAATCAGTCCGTTACAATGCACAGTTTCATAAACTAGCTATATCATTTAATTGTTATAAGATGCTATAATCGTCACATCAAATATATAGCCTTGCAATTGCAAACAGTTATTTGCTCATCTCGCACAGATCTTTGAAAGCACGCGAGAATGAAAATAAATCACTTTTAGTGGAAGTTGCATTGTGTTCATAACATGATGGATGTGTTTCATTCTAATTAAACTCTCTCTCTCTCTCTTACAATATCATGCCGGCTGAAAAACACTGTTCCGGCTGAAAAAAAAAAACAAGTTGAAAAAGACGGATTATAAGAGAAACGAACATGACCAATATCATGCCGGCTAAGCAAATTTGTTGATATGTCATAACTTTAAATGAGAATAAAACTCTAATTAGGACTGGCCTTAGACCCTGATTGTTTGTCTGTAGGTTGTTGATCAGCTTGCATATTGTTACAATATATGCACTTGGACCCTGCTACTTTGTCTGAACATCACGGATCACATTGCAGACTGTTACAATATGTAAGCTAGCGGGGAAGTAGATCATTGTTGGCTGTTAAGATCTGGTTATAATTTGGAACTTATTTGTTTCAGTTGTAGTATAACAACATGCAAGCTATACAAACAAGGTCTTAGAGCATATCCAATAGTTGCAATATTTTGTTGCTAAAATGGGGTATACGAAAACATCTCCAGTGCCCCCGCCCCGTCCCATGCTTTCATTAAAAAAATGCATCAAAATATGCACGGAAAATCCACAAAAATGTGGATGGGTAGATGATGCAAATGTCTATGCTTATGTAAAATTTGAGATGCAACATAAATCTATGCAAAGAGATAAAAAAGTGAAATCATCACTCCAAATGAGATTGCAAGTAGTAATTAAGAACCGTGTTTTAGCTAGAGTTTCTAATACTGCTACTTTCTGTTAGTTTTCACCTTGAAGATACATTATTATGGGGTATAGTAAACAATATTAGTTCTATTGCCATTTTTTAAAACAATAGATGGAGGAGGATCCTTTTAATAAAGTTAATTGGGATAGAAATTTTGACTTGTGTGATTAAGATGAAAGTTACATTCGAACCGAAGCATCTTTATCGGATCATGTATTGTTTTTATGCTACATACTTCGTTATTTTTAGATGATGTATTAATTGTATTTTTAATTTTTTAGTTCAAGCAACGACAAACAACACTCTAAAATAAATAAAAGAACTGAATATAAACTTAGGCAAGTTCGGGAGTACTCTAGACATTGCATAGCAAATGATAACAATCCCACCATCCCAATCCACGATGCCAAACAACAATAGCTTTTTACAATCCAAAGTATTATAACATCTCCAAGAGTCTTTCTTAATCCACTCTATAAATCATTGTTTAGATATCATTTGAATAAAAATCACTCTATATCTTTCTACCCTCTAATAGACTTTTTTTATTTTCGTATAGCTCTAGAAAGCCGGTCCGCTTTTCACCTTTCACCGCGAGAAATCTAGAATAGAGGATAACATTATTTGCAGATCTAATTAAAGAAGTTATTGGAGGATATCTTTTTACCAAAATCTATATTCCTTTATATATTAATTAAGATAAGAAATAAGAGAGATATAAAAAGACTCGAGTTGCTCTTACAATCCAAGTTTTTTACAATCCACAATCTGCTTTTCACAATCTCTAGTGGAAATAAACAGGCTCTAAATCTACATTGCAGCGAGAGAAAGAAAGCCCACGCCACCTGAACGAAGAAAGAGAATGAAAGCCCACTCAACCGCGAGTCCAGCCCACACAACCACACCAACTCTCCCCAATCCAGCAGCCCTCGAGTCTCCCCGACTCCTCCCCGCACCTCAGCACAGAGACGCCACTACCACCACCGCCGCAAGCGACGACGGTGAGATGTTTCTGCGGCGGATCCTGACCGGCGGGGGCGGCCTGGCGGCGCTGAGGGCGGCGCGCGCCGTGAAGGAGACGACGGGGATCGTGGGCCTTGAGGTGGTGCCCAACGCGCGGGAGGTTCTCATCGGGCTCTACACGCGCACGCTCAAGGAGATCGAGGCCGTCCCCAAAGACGAGGGCTACCGCAAGGCCGTTGAGTCCTTCACCAATCACCGCCTCCAGATCTGCCAGGAGGAGGACGACTGGAAGCGCATCGAGGACCGGATCGAATGCGGGCAGGTCGAGGAGCTCATCGAGGAGGCCGAGGACGAGCTCAAGCTCATCGCCAAAATGGTTGGTATGTGATTCTTGGCTACCTTCCCGTCACCCCCGTTGTCTCTACAGTTTATTCCATTTTTATGGTTTTCTGATCCGTAGGCAGTAGTTAGTGTAATTGATATATTTGATGTTTAAGTTTTATGTGATAGGTGGCTTCGCTGATTTGGGGACATTGATAATACAATACACGTAATAGGTTAGGTCGTGTAGGACAAATGCTATCGTTTGATAATAGTTTGTTGTAGGATTGAAATTTTTTGGAGCCTTTGGAATTGTAGATAGATGGGAGGTTGGTGTGAGGTTACCTTATGATCCCTAGAAGGCTAGAACCCTTCCTGATATTGTTCATTAGTCTATGGCTCTGGAAAAATGATATTGAACTTTTTATGGACTGATCAGCAATCAGCACTTGAAAATACTACTGGAATCTTGTGTGCCTCTGGTCACATGGTGCGTGCTGCATCTGGAAATGGCCACCTATACTGCCTGTTTCCTCCCATTAGGAGCAGTGTATCAGAGTATTAAACTGATGTCTTAGGTTCTGATATATCACACTGTATCCTTTGTACTATACCACTAAATTTATTGTGGAACATTTAACCTCTTATTTTGTGGTAGACTGGTAGTTCTGATGAAGGTGACAGTCTTCGATGTTCATATCTTTTGAGAAAAAAATGTAATGGGTTTAGTTAGTCTGTTTGTCTCAGTTAGCAGAGTATAACTGAGATAAATCCCAATGTTTTACGTGCCCTTTAATCTTATTTCTTATTCTGCTTTTAGTTTTTTAGCATTAACAAGAATGCAGATCAAGCTGGTAATAGCAATACACTGTGAATACCTTCTGCTTCAACAGTGCGCTCGTATATGCTTTGCCATGCACATGTAGCTGCAGAACTTTAATTTTATGTATCAGTGTGATAATTGAAGAACAGACTTTTTAGTTTCAAAAATTCTGTTGAGTGCATGGGTTTGAGGATACCTTCAACTTATCACTTGCAAGTTATTGTTACTATAACGCTGGGTGGCCAACACTTACACTGGTTTACTTCTCATCTATTCATCTATTCCTTGATTATGAACACGTGTCTGATGCTATATTGCAATGCCGCTTGTCTGCAAACTGATATTCTAGGCTTTCAATTCCAGCATATATTTTTGCATGTATTTGTTGGCTGATGCAAAGTGCTTCGGTTTGTTTTAATGTGATTCTGTGTTTGAATGAATGGCAGAATGGGATCCGTGGGGTGTTCCTGATGACTATGAGTGTGAGGTGATCGAAGACGACACCCCAATTCCTAAGCATGTTCCTCAGCACCAGCCTGTTGCTCTTCCTGAGGAGTTCTTCAAGACACTGGATGCTGTCAAATCTGATCCCGCTCTCCAAGGCGATGCTCCTCCTCAGGTGAAGGCGTAAAGATGACTCTTCCCGGTTATGTCATTTCACATTTTGCTGTGTTGAGTAGGGACTAGTTTCTTGTGTCATTTGCCAGCAATGTGCTTGCTCCAAGCAGAATAAATTTCTGGCGAGTACCATCAAAGAGTGAATTTGAACTCAGTGTTTCGACACAGTAAATTTGTTGTCCATGAATACTTGATACCCTGAACATCGTTTGTTTTGACGTTTATAATCTATGATGACGAAATATTGAATGCTAGTTGGAGTTCATTTCCTGGTGCAGCCATGGGCCCATGGTGATGGTGGTGTGTGAATCTGGTCTGGCCGTGACCTAACGGCAGCCAGAGCCGTTAGCGTAACCTGGCACCACAAAATCATTGCCCATGGCTAGCGCGCCCAGTTTGGGTGCGGGCGGTGATCTGAACTGGATTGCTAGCTGCGTTCTTCGATGGCAACTGGCATACTGACGGGATCAAAGAAAAAACCAGGGGCTATCGGCGGGCGAGCATCATCATGGGATGCAGGCGATGTGCTCGTTTAAATCCAGGGGCGCGCGCATCATCATGGGATGCAGGCGATGTGCTCTACAACTATGATGGTGTTTAATGTTTAAATCCAGGTGCTAAAGTTTAGGAGTGTCACATCGGAGTCACATGGTGATGTCACATGGGAGTGTTCGGAGAGTAATAATAAAATAAATTAAAGAAATTCTTAGAATTTCGATCTGCCACGAAGAAGGTGCAGCCTCTAGCATGCCACTACGGGTATTGTCATCCGTATCAATTTTCTCAATACCTATTGGTAACTGACAGTGGAACATCAGGGGCCTGATTCGTTCGCCTCTAAAATTTATCATTTGGCGAGCCATAATTTTGACTAGTATTTGGTTTGCTACAAAAACTTATCAAAACTCTTACATTTGACTTGTCAAACATATGTCAATGTTTTAACCTAACTTTTGGCTTGTCAAATCTTTAGCATGACAAATTTTAGATGTCAACCAGGCTCTAGGACAATGTGCTAACGTTTCATGTTCGAAAATGACCCATTGTTAATTTCATCTGAGCTGAATGCCTTAAAGCCATTCCGTGAGAGACCGCACACGCAGTCACCCAGTGATGTTTCCCATTGATTAAAATAAAACAATCTAGCACTTCGTCTGAGGTGAATGCCTCAAAGCCATTCCGGTAGACCACACCCCCAGTGTTGTTTCCGCTAACAGCAATACAGCATCTAGCTAGCATAACTGGACTCTTGGATGCCTTTGTACACCAAAAAACGACAAACAAACGGCACAATGTATGTTATACCCCGCTATCTTCAGGTTATCAGTTCCATGAACCTACCCCCAAGCCACCCAAGCAAAACATCAGTTCCTCCTCGCAGTTGCCACGCAAAACACCGGCATTTCAGATAAGCACTGTCAGTTAACAGCAGAGTTGGGCAGCTGCATGAGACCGTTGACGATTTCCAGCTTGCTGCCAAGCTGCACCTTCTGCTCTGGGTTACCCCAGGGGCAGGGCCAGGGCCAGGGCCGGTAGAAGCTGGGCTCCCCGAACCCCAAGTTGTTGTAGCTCGGCAGAGGCTGAGCTAGCGAGGGCTGAGACGGCAGCGGCTGCAGGAGGTTGGTGAGGAAATACGGTGGCAGGCTGTTGCTCGACTGCTGGGACTGGGAGAATGAAGGAGCGCTCAGAGCGGCCTGGTCTTCTGCCTCCGGAGCTGGCTTCTGAATCAGCTTCTTCCCGAGGATGGGGATTTCTCGTTGAGCGACTGCTAGCAGGTTGTACCGGCTGGGCTCGAAGTTGGTCACGGCGTTCTCGCCCCTGAACTTCAGTGCCGCGATGTCGTACGCCTCTGCAGCCTCTTGTTCGGTTGCTGCAAGGAGCAGGATTTATGGTATTAGTCCAGATGAGTCATGACAAGACCAAATCACTCATAAAAATAACCATTGCATTTGCACAATGAAACATGTGCCGTTTATTTTCAAGAAAGCTACAAGACTGCTATACTATACATAAGTCCGTAAGGGTACTTCCATGCCATGCTCTGATTAAAAAAACAGAGAGGCTAAATTCATTGAGGATCTATGGTATGCGACATCAAAATTACAGGCCCTTACCGAAAGTCCCAAGATACAGATCCTTGTTCCCTGCAACACGGCCGATTCTTGCCTGCCAGCGTCCATGTTGGTGGTGCCTGACAAAACAAATCAAGTGAAAACAACTGCCAAAAAATATATCGATCAATGATGGCCTCCTGTAACTGAAACTTACCTTGTTACTCCTCTGTAGATTGATGCTCCTCTAGAAAAGCCACTGCTCTTCCTGAAGATTGACACGTTGAATACGTAAACACGCATGGAAGCAGCCATGGACATCACGTAGTTGCAGTAGTACGAAGTTATAAAAATACCTCCTCAGTGAGGCTACAACATCACGCCTGTTCATGTTCTGCATATCCTGAATCTCTCTGATGTAGTTCTCTCTCTGGAAAGAGTGCTCCGTTTTCAGTCAATATGTCATGAGCAAAGATGTGAGTACATCTATAAAGTTTTGTTTGTGTTATATAAAAGAGAAAGAACATATGATATATGTATATGCCCAATTCACAGCCAGCATATTAAGTTCAAAATGGAACAAGTATTGGTGTAGGAATCTGATTTTGGTAAATTAGATGGTATATAATCATAATGTTGCTAAACAACTGGGTTGATTTTCAGAGTGCAAACAAGAAATTTATGACCTGCAGGCTGAAACAAGAAATTTTATGCTCCTTTTCTGTAAAAGAAAAGGTGAAATGTTAATGGTTTTCAATGCATGCCTGTATATTCTTGACATAGCACCAGGATGCCTTATTATGTACAATATCCAAACTGAACCGTGATGGTTGCTTTGTAATTTATTGATACACAACTCACCTTCATAACACTGGAAAAACTGATGTGTTGACTGTTCAGAAACGAAGAGAAGTACAACACTTACAGGGAAGTTAGTAGTAGCATTATCACCCCAATACTTCAGAGCTGCAATATCATATGCCCTAGCAGCCTTATCTTCTTTGTCGTAGCCACCTGTACCACAGGTATTTTAAGCTTCTACTTAACAATATGCTAAAAATGTATAGTTAGAAAACAAAAGATAGAGGTAACTGTTCGTACCCAAATAAACTGCAGAAAATCCGCATATAGTTGGCAGGATAATGGATATAAACAGAGTAGACATGAGAAACCACAGTTAGTTAATTAGAACGAAAAGAGAACAGAAAATACACAGTTGCAAAGTTGAAAAGTATGAACTACTCCCTCTATTCCAATTTGTTTGTCCTAACTCCTAAGTCAAATTTCTTTAGTTTGACCAAGTTTTATAGAATAATGCACTAACATCTACAACAACACGTTAGTTTCATTAAATCCACTATGAAATTTCTTGGTAGTGAATTCATTTGGTATTATAAATGTTAATATATGTTTCTAAAAACTTTGATCAAATTTAGATATGTTTTACTTAGGGCGAAGCTAAAGTGACTATAGTTTGGAACGGAGGGAGTACTTCACATTTTTTATTCATATATAGAGCCTTAGCACCTAATTGAGCAAATACTCACAGGACCAAATGTTGCCATCCATGAATGCAAACTAGCAACTTCATTTTTTTAAAAAAGAAATACTGTACCAAGTAGGCATAATTAAGAGCAAGAGAACCATGTAGTGTATGTCTAGTGCAATGACAAAACCTTTCTTTTTTTTTCAATATGGTAATAAACAAAAGGCGCGTGCTTAAAATCTAGTCAAAATGGCTTCCAGAACAACTAAGCGTGCATTCAACTTCAGCTTAAATTGTACTCCCTCCATACTAAAAAATGAAGTCGTTTTGGACAGCGACACGGTCTCGAAAGCATAACTTTGACTACTTATTTTTATAAAGATATTTATCAAAAAGCGATATATGTAAATTTTTGTGAAAGTATTTTTCAAGACAACTCTATACATATGGTTTTCACATTTCCAAACTCAACAACTTAAAAGTTATCCATGATTTATATTCCCAATGTTTAACCCAAGTCTTGTCCAAAACGACTTCATTTTTTAGTATGGAGGGAGTATTGTTTGTATCTTATTTCAAAACGAGTCATGGTACAAGTGTAAAATCTGTGGTAAGCCCACATGAAGTTTAACAACAAAAATTTTCAAATTGTTTTCACCTTCTACTCTAAACTCCTATTGTCATCTTGTGATCTTCTCATACACAATAGCTGCAACAGCAATTCAGCAACCAAGTGCAGCAATTCATTGTGAAGTTATAGCACTAGTTTCGCTGCAGTCAGATTTAGAGCATGCTGCAAACAATTGGAAACCTTGTTTGCCATTGTTTGTGGGACCGAGGGAGTAGACACTTCTAAATTCAATTTCAATGAATCAAAAAATAGAAATAAAAAACTTTCCACTTATGGCAGCTGCAAACGATTGGAAGCCTTGTTCGCCACTCCCCAGCAGCAGCAGCAGCACTGCAGCAGTGCCAGTGACTAACAACCTATCCAACAGGAACAAGGCCTCCGTGAACATCAACTGAAAAACACGTCGTCGCTGCGGGCGAATATGGGCGGTTGGCACTCCAGCTAGCGTTGCAACGTGACCAGGCATTTCCATTTTCAAAATTCAAAATCCTGTCCACGTAACACCGGGCCGGCCGAAACAGAACGGGAAACTTGGCGTCGAAGAAAGACGCATGAGCCAAAAACTGAAATTGCAAAAGCAAGCTGCATCACTGACCCTGCCAAGTTGAACTGGCATGTACGTACCCGATCGCCCGCGCCAGGATGATTCCGACGCCAAGGGATTACTACCCAACATTTCATCGTCGCTCATAAACCCCGGCAACTAAACTGATTTACCCCGACGTTTAGGCACAGGAGAAACAAAACAGGCATATCTATGTGCCTAACACCTACTAGTAACTGCACGGTCAAAAGGGGAGGCCCCGGCTCCGCAGAGAATCCGGGAACTACTATGCGCGAGTGGT